GCAGATCACATTTCTGGCAGGAGTTATTATTCGATAACACAGTGCTGCCTGACTCCCTGGAAAGCTACAATTCAAAGCAGGCCAAGCAGCAACTTTGCATGGTTAAATAAAATATTTAAACAGACATGGGGAAGATAACATCTTTTTACTTTTAAAGGAAATGGTCACCTGCTTATGACAAAGGGTATATGGGATACAATGGACCTTACTGAAGGATGAATGGCCACTATTCACTTATTGCAGCAAAGAAATCCAAATGGCCAAAAATTGATTTAATACTGAAATTATGGTGCAATCACCAACTCTATTTTTTTTAAATCACAGTTTTATTTATCAGGCATGTTTTATGTCCATTATAATCCCCCCTCCATTTTCATGTGGGTATAACTTTCTTACACAGCAATTGGGGGATGGATGGAGTTTAAACTTTCATGGCTGCCTAAAACATTTTTATCAAAGTCATTCGAGTCATTTTAGAAAGTAAAGTGTCTGAATAGGTGTAGACTGGCTGTGTAACTCATTTAGGGTACATCTACTCAGCAGTGTTATTTTGGAATAACTTCAGTTATTCCAAAATAACATAATGCACGTCTACACTAAAAGCCTTAATTTTGAAATAATGTCTAGCTGGAGGAGTTCTTACTCTGACTCATGGTAACCCTCATTTCACGAGGAGAAAGGGAAGTCGAAGGAAGAGTATTCCTTCTTCGATTTCCTGCTGTTTAGATCAGTGTTCCTCATTCTTTTTTTTACAAAGTACCCCTTTTTAAAAAAAAAATTATAAGTGTCCCCAGTACCTACAGTTTCCAGACACATAATTTTTTTTCTACCATTGCAACACATTTGTTTAAACAACTTAATCGTAGCCGAGTGGGCGATTAAATTTTTGGGTGTAAAAAGTACAAAAATAATAAAGTGCTGTAAAACTTAAAACAAAAATTCAGTTTTCTCCAAATTTCAGTTGTGTTGACATATCCCACAGACTTCTCTTGAGTATCCCTAAGGGTACTCGTACTACTGATTGAGAAACACTGGTTTAGACAGTGCCCAAAGTCAGATTAAGCTGTTTCGACTTCTGCTACGCAATTGACATAACTGAAGTTGTGTAGTTTAACTTGACTTTAGCCCTGCTGTGTAGATGTACCTTAAGAGCGACTCTTAATAGCTGCATTTCCAGATATTTAAAAAAATTAGCTGTGTAATTTTAACTTTTAGTTAATATTGTGTTTCTTCCTAATGCAATGTGGAAATGGTTAGAGCAGTGTACAGAAAGATAGGACATCTTGATTTAATCTCAGTATGGCCACTGACTTCCTAAATAAACTTAGTTTAATCACTTCATCTTTTCTCTGCCTTTTCCTATGCACTAGTAAAACAGAGGTAATAACAAAATGTACCTACTACAGAGGTATCTTGAGGCTTTAAGGTCTCTCATGTAATTTCAAGAATGTTGTATAAAAAGATTCTGCATCTATTATATGTGTTTGTCTGCGTGTCTGTCTATGTATTTTTTTGTTCAAGAACTCCTCCTAAATGGTAAGAGCAAGGACCACCAAATTTGCAGCTTTCTCTTATCAAAACTTAAAGAAAGATAAAGGTTTGGTTTTGCCAGGACAATGGGCTGTGCCTGGAATGCAATTGTTTCTCATAAAATGGAAAGGGAGGAATCTGCTAGCAGGGACAGTTGTACTTTATAATGACCACAGGGAGCAGCAAGGGCCAAAGATGGGGACAGAGACAGCTATAAACCCATTGGGCCAGCAGAGGGCGGGGTAGAGAAAGGGACAGGTATCTATATATTTTAGAAATGTGCATCTGTCTGTCTCTGTTCAAGAACTCCTCCTAAATTGTAAGAGCTAGAACCATCAAATTTGGTATGCAGCTTCCTCCTATCATAATTTAAAGGAAGGTCAGGGCGTGGTTCTACTAGGAAAACAGAAAGTGCCAGGAATGGGATTGTTTCCCGTAACATGGAAAAGGTTGGGCACCTAAAGGAGGAACTCGATTCTGAGAGTGGCCACTGGAGGGGGAGAGCAGGAAAGAGCTATACTGCACAGTGGCCACTGGAGACAGCCACCCCACCAAGAGAGTGGCCAGCTGGGGCTAGGGCTCCACCGTGTTGCTTGCCATGACAGGGTAAGTAACCCCCCTACTCCAAACCCTTCCCCTGCCAGCCCTTAGCCACAGAGCCAGGATGGGGAGAGAAAAGGCCCATCAGCAGGAGGGGGCTGGAGGGAGAAAGAAGACCCCTGTCAGCCTGGAGAATAGAAAAAGGTCCTGCTGGTCAGGGGGAAGAAAAAGCCCCACTGGATAGGACACCCCCCCCCCCCCCAACCGCTCCTCACCCCAACCCTCACTCTCATACTTCCCCATGGCTTCACCCTTCTGCTCTGCCCCTCCCCCAATATCCCCAAGGCCCTGATTCCTGCACCCTTCATACCGTCAGCCCCCTGTCCTGAAGGACCCAGGCAACTCTGCTAGTGTACTATATAGTTGAGAGAGTTTGTCTGTTTGTGTGTCTGTCGGTATCTGACTGTCCCACAGCCGGGGGACATGCACTCCTCCCCTTGTTATGCCCACTGCAACTGCAGTGGCCATAGACAGGCACTTCTCACCCAGCTGCAAGCAGCTGTGGTAAGAGAGGGCTGGGGTTGTTTTTTCTCCCCAGGGCAGCAGCATATTGAATCCCTCGTCCCTAGCCCTGCCCTAGAGCAATGATTTCAATGAAGAAAAATAATTTGCGTTAAGGATCCGAGGAATGCAGGGTGAATCTTCTAGTTAGTAATATGTAGTAATTGGGTAAACTCACTGATTTTTATGTGTATATAAATGTAAATGCTAAAGAAATGATAACTGTAAATAGCACCCTGCATTGATGATGAGCAACAAAAGGAATTTTAGAAAGTGGTTAGGTCACACTATGTATTAGGCTTCCATGTATAAAAAGGTTATTAACCAGAGCATTGTGGTCATGTTACAGCCATGAGTAGCGTTATAGATGGTTATAAGCACATCAGTAGAAGGTGTTATGAATGGCTCAAGCTATGCTTTTGTAGCCTAGAGACCTATAGGGCTCTATAAGAATCTATTAATCATTTATAAATAGAACATTCATGCCAAGCCGGATCAGATTCTGTTCCAAAGAGGTGTAACAGGGCAGTAAAGTTTCTAGGACAACACAACTGAAGCAGGGAACAAACTAACCGAGGAAGGACACAATCCCCATTTTTTTGTAGTGCAATTGATGCCAAATGGTACATTGCATGGGCTTCTTCAAACAATGCTTTGACTAGGGAAAGCAGCCAACAGTCAAGCACAGCATGTGTTGCTATTGCACCCCTTGGAGATTTTTCACTCTAGTGCCTATTGCTCTGCTGATGTTTCACACCCGGACCTGCAGAAGTGGCCATTGTGCAGTAATTAGCAGGAGAGATTGGATTGTTCTAGTACATCCAGGTGCCACAATGGCACAGACCAGACTGAACAATATAGGAAAGTCACACATTTATTGACACACTTTCGAGTACATTACAAAACAATCCACCACGTTTATGGAACTGACAGTGCAGCTCTCACATCAAGAATTTGCTATTGCATGTCCTTCCAGCGTGAACAGGAAAATCAAAGACCAACAGTTGGACTGGTAAGATGCAATTTGTCTCTATTTTAAGACACACACACACACCCGCTGGTTTGATTTTAGGCTTGCATTTACATTAGACTCTAATGCCCCAATTCAATAGGCTTTTCCCCCTCAACTCATTCCCACTCATAAGCCTTGGTGCAACCTCTCTCAGGTTTCAGTCTCTAGAGCAGAGATGAGCCTGTGCTGGAACACAAGAGCTGAACCTGCCAAAACTTGACCAAGTGCCATCCAACTCTGGACTCAGATTCTTTTGGGGCCAGATCCTCAGGAGAGCAAATCAGCATTTCTCTGAATTCAACGGCATTAAGCTGATTCACACCTGGTGAGGAGCTGGCCCATAGATTTAGGCACCAGAAAGACTCTTTATGATGATTTAGTTGGATTTCTGCATAATACAGGCTGCAAAATTTCATTCAAAGCTCACGGCTCAAACTTCTCCCTATAGTCAAAGAGGAATTCTTTGCTTTGGAGGGAAATCAGTTTCAGATCTGAGTGGAATACGGATTCAGATTTTGCGGATTCAGAGCCCTGTGCAGATACAGAATTTGTATCCGTATCTATAGCCGCAAAAATGAGCTGTGTATATCTATATCCACAGCCATTGCTGTGGATACCCCTGGGTAGAAAGCAGACAGAACACTGCAAATTTGTGGATGAGTTCATTTTTTTCCACATCTGCAAAAATCTGCAGATGTGGATAGCCACAGATATAAAGTGGATATCTGCAGATTTGCAGGGCTCTAAAGAGCTGTTTCTACTGGAATGCTTTTTCACCAGGTGTGAATCCGATAGTGGTTTATTTGCAGGGAGGGATAGCCTACATCTAACCAAACAACACAAGCAGGGAAGACATTCCTGCATAGAGTCCCTTCTTCAGTGGGTTGACTGCTCATTTGCTAACTAAGGGCTAATACATAGTCATTCACACACAGAGTCTGACCGAAGTCAGTAGAATGTAAGGGAAACACGATCCACCTAGATATTGTTGTTTGCAGGAGCAAGCCTTACATGAGAGCGAGCTACTTGCCATGGTTCTGCATCTTTGAGACTTTGGCAGATTCCAGCTCTGTGTAGGAGTTCCACACCAAATCCCCACACTGATCTCCTAGGGTATGTCTACACTACCACCCTAGTTCGAACTAGGGTGGATAATGTAGTCAACCAGAGTTGCAAATGAAGCCCAGGATTTGAATTTCCCGGGCTTCATTTGCATGTTGCCAGGCACCGCCATTTTTAAATGTCCGCTAGTTCGGACTCCGTGCCCGCGGCTACACGCGGCACGAACTAGGTAGTTCGGATTAGGCTTCCTATTCCAAACTACCTGTACTCCTGGAACGAGGTTTACAGATAGTTCGAACTAGGGTGATAGTGCAGACGTACCCCTAGTCAGTAGGAAGCAGTATTAGCTGCTCAGTGTCCATGAAGAAGAACCTTGAACACCCATAGTTCCATGGACATAAAAGCAGGGTAGTGCCAACTCTGTCCTACAAGATGGCTTTCAAAAAAGAGAGCACTGGATTTTCTCCTAAAAGTGAACACCAGAAGTGTTGTGCCAGCCAGCTTTTCACCTGCCATTGAACTGAGCTCAAAGACCCAGGCTCTAGTAGCACGTGGTAACAGGACCTGGTCGGTGTTCTAGCCCTGGAGAGAGCACTACTCTCTGCACAGCCCTGAAAACACTGACGCTGCCACATCCTTTCTTAGGGTACGTGTACACAGCAACATTATTTTGAAATAACATGGTCTGCGTTGACACAGCAGGCAGTTATTTCAAAATAATGTTGAAATAATGTCAAGTTGGAGGACTTCTTACTCTGACTCCTGTAACCTTCATTGTACGAGGAGTAAGGGAAGCCAGAGGAAGAGTGCTCTGTTTCGAAATAAGTGCTGTGTAGACACTCGCTATTTTGAAATAAGCTACACAATTGACGTAGCTCAATTTGAAAAGCTTATTTCGACTTAAGCCCTGCTGTGTAGATGCACCCTTAATGTCCCTGGCCAACCATTTGGGAAATGAGCCTGCTGCAGGAGGGAAAAGGCTGGTTACCCTACCCAGCATGGGAACCAGACATATAAGACCATCAACTCCAATAGCAGCACTTGAGCTAAAGCCTGAACATTGTAAGATGGACTAAGAAGAAATGTTCCCAATATGAATATCTATAACAGTGTGTACCTAGAAATGCTAGCAGCAGACATAATCTAGCACTGACAAACAGAGTGCAATTCCCCTTGCATTGCCAACCTATATTTACTCAAGGCACTGGTACAGGACGATACGCATGATTGAAGCTGAAGAAAAGCCTGTTTGTGCCATTTACACAGGATACATTGTACAAGGCTAGTTCTTCCTTAAAGGCCAGATTCTGACATCTATGCTTGGCGGAGATAGTTCCTCACTCTATGGCAGAAGCTCATTGAAATGAATGGCACTGCTTGTGGAACAAGGTATTGCTCCACGGAAATAAAACAAAAATTCCTTCCCCATACAGCTGCTCAGAGCAGTGTAAACTTGCTGCCTGAAGGAGAAAAGGCAGCCTTGACATCTGCACCAGAGCATTCGTCTAAGCTTTGCATTCAACAATTAGGGTTACTCGTCCATCTGAGGCAATTCCTCCCATTTTAAGCTCCATCTAGGGGCTTGGCTGTAATGTGACCAGTTTAGCATATGTTCAAGTCTACACTGCTTTATGTACATAGCTTTTTAGTGAGTGTTAGCTAACACGGTCTGCCAGCACCCCTTGAAATCCTCACTTCAGCAAAGCCTGGGATTCTTCTTCTGCTCCCTTCCCACAAACCACACCTTCACTGGCTTGAGTGCAGCGACACCAGCATACAGCATAATGCAACAGAGTGTAACATAGGGATAGGCAGTCTGCAACTCAAAGGCCACATGCGGTCCATCGGGGCTCTACATGCAGTTCGCGAGATAGTTTCTTTACCGTTGCCCATGGGCAGGGTTGCCAGATTCTGCTACTTTCCTTCTCTGTGGTTTTTTCCTATCGGTATTACTAAAGAGACACAGACCTTCAGGAAAGGCTTGTGAAGTGAGGTGCGTGCTGATTGCACTCTATACTGACTGACTTGCACTCCCTCTGCATCCAATCAAAGTGCTGCTGCGGTTCACCGGGAACGCCCCACAAATTCTAAGTACGCAAGCACAGTTAGCAAATTTAACTATCTGGGGAGGCTACCATGGCTAGGTTAATCTTACAGCTCACTAAGATGATGGAGGATCACACATGAAGCCCACTCACTAGCCTAGGTTGCCCTTCACTGGTGTCATGCAAAGTCATCATGCCCTGTGTTGGGTAATAAGGAAAACAATCTCTGCTGGATAGAAGATGGAATTCACCCGCTTGTTTTGGCAGGTTCACATCCTGTGATGTTTCCAGTTAAGCTGCCTTAGAAGGAAAAACCTGATATTTAAAGGACATGTATGAAGAGGACTCAATAATTACAACAAAAGGACACAAACCCTTTGAAACCAGGTTCTTTCTTTTCACACCTATATGCCTCTCTTCTCCTGCCAATAATAAAATATCTTATATGCCCACATAGGAAAATAAAGTTCAAATTCCACTTTTGCAGCAATACGAGAAAAAGATCTCCTGACTGACACGACAACTCAAATAACAATGTTGTTTCCTCATCTTATGAAAATTCCCCCAAGGTTACTCTTCCTGCTCACAGAGCTGGGGAACGCCTAAATTAAGGGCCTTCTGAGAAACCTACTTTGAAGTGGAAAGTTTTTAATTAAGTTAATTTAGACAGGAAAAATAAGAACCTGCCATGGCATCCGAGGCTACATCTACACTGTCATTTTTTTTCAGCAGAAGATATGCAAATGAGAGCACAATTTGCATATCTTCTGCCAAAAAAAAAAACCATGGCAGTGTAGACATAGCCCTAGTGCACCCTGATTTCACATCCCAGCTACAGCGGGATGAATAAAATGATTATTTTCAGTTCAATGGAAAGTTCTGAAAAGCCATGAAAAATATTTTGGATGGAAGAAAAGCTTTTGATTTAATTTTGTCCATTTTTTAAACTCTTCTGAATTTTATTGATTTTTTTTAAATAAAAGAAAGCAAAATCTGGAAAGGAAAAATTGTTCCAAACTGAATACTTGAAATGATTCGCATTGAAAATCATGGAACAAATCTGCTACAAGTTTGGGTGTTATCGACTGGAAAGTTTCACCCAGCTCTAATCCCACCAGTTAAAAAGGAGACTTGTGAGTCATTACTCTCCCGCAAAGAGGCCCTTGGATCACTTCCTAAAAGGCACTGGGAGTCAAGGGCAATCAGCATCTCAGGGCAGCACATTGGGCCAGATTTACAAAGAGATTTAGGCACCAAAGGTTATGGTAACTGGATAGCAAGGGTGAAAATGGGGCCAGGTTTGGGCGTAATAGGCTCATATAGATGAAAAAGCCTCAAGCATCAAGACTGTCCTTATTAAACCTGGACATCCGGTCACCCTACAAAAGACGTGGAGAGATGTCTAGTGGGATTTACACAAGCAGCTGAACACGGTATGTAATGCATACCCATTGATTTCATTGGCTACGTCTACACTGGCATGATTTTCCGGAAATGCTTTTAATGGAAAAGGTTTTCCGTTAAACATGTTTCCAGAAAAGTGCGTCTAGATTGGCAGGACGCTTTTCCGGAAAAGCACTTTTCCTGGAAAAGCGTCCGTGGCCAATCTAGATGCACTTTTCCGCAAAAAAGCCCCGATCGTCATTTTCGCGATTGGGGCTTTTTTTGCGGAAAACACTACTGTGCTGTCTACACTGGCCCTTTTCCGGAACAGTTTTCCGGAAAAAGACTTTTGCCCGAACGGGAGCAGCATAGTTTTTCTGGAAAAGCACTGATGATTTTACATTCGTCAGTGCTTTTCCGGAAATTCAAGCGGCCAGTGTAGACAGCTGGCAAGTTTTTCCGGAAAAGCAGCTGATTTTCTGGAATAACTTGCCAATGTAGACACAGCCATTGTGTTTCTCTGTGTAGGCAAGTGTTCATCAGATGCCCACAACTATAACAGCTCTTGCTTGGTTTGGGATCTTCCTTAACACACTGACAGTTGTAGCTTGTTAGATGAAGTTCATCAGCCAGAAAACCCAATTGCTGATGAACTTTGTCCTTCCCCTGCAGTAATAGGGAGGGGGCCACCCACACTGTATTGGGCTTTTGGCCAAAGTACAAACTCTTTAAACCTGAGACTAGGGTTGCCATTTCTGCTTGGACATATTCGTGGAGGTTTTAACCCATGACATAAGATCTCTTTAAGATTTCTCTCTAATTCCTGGAAACTCCAGGACAAGCCTACCTGAGAGAATGAGTATATCCCTTGGAGAGCCCAAGTGCAACTCTCACCAGAGTCAATGGGGGGGATGGTGCTCAGCACCTTACAGGATCAGGACCTTACACAATGAATTTAAATAATTATGAAACAGGGTTTTCCTTTAGGACATACCTCTCGCTCTTCACTAGAGGTTTTTGCAGATAAATATTGTCTTTGCTTTTAAAGGCAAAGCAATAATTATTTTCCCAGTTCTATAAAGAAAAAGCATAACAACATTTAACATCTTATGTGCATTAATTTGTTACATTGGGGCCAAATCCTGAAGCCCTTTTCCAAGCTGACCTCTTAGGGCTGCAGGAGTTGGGCTCTTAAGCCTCACAACACCCCTGTGAGGTAGGTAAGTAGCGTTATCCTCATTTTGAAGCTGGGAAACTGAGGCACAGAGTGGTTTAGTGATTATGTGACCATGTAGTCAAGGCTACATATTGAGTCTGGGAACAGAACTTAGGAGGTGCCTGGCACCCAGGCCTGTGGTCATTCCACTAAACTGTGGGGTTATGGCTTTCATTAATTTAGCCCCCAAAGGCTAAATAAAACCTTTCCACAGAAGCATTGCCAGACACTTTTGTAGCTGTCTGCCACCAGTTGATCCAGAAAAACTGAGAGAAATCATGGTGCTATTCCAGGTGCTACAAAACACTTTACACACAGGACTGTAGTCAGACCTGTATCAAACAAAGCAGCCATTTGGAGCCCCTTGGCCCAGCTATTGGAGCCCTTTGGCACAGGGATCCATGTGTAAGGATTTCAGGATCCATCCCACAAATAGCTGTAAATTCACTTTCTGATTATTGCTATATTTTGATACAAGTTCAAAGTCTGTTCCCACTGAAGGGCTGGTCTTTCAGGACTTGTCTTCAACCCAGAATTAAAGAGTTAACTCACAGTATGCAGGGTGGGCACTTAAGGGGTTAATCTAGGAGGTTTGAATACACCTGAAAGTTGGGCTGCCCATGCTGATCACTTCCACGTTGTCTAATAAAATACTTGCTCTGTTGAATCCTGAGTGCAACGGGCAACAACGTGAAACTGACCAAAGCTCAGCCTGGCGTGACTGCCGAGACCTGGTCTCTCAGCTTGGTATTAGTCAGCCAGACCCTTCCCAGCTGTGTGCTAATGTGCAAAGGTTTGGAAGGGAAGACCAGGGTTCAGAGAACACTGCTGGCTCTGTATTCCGAAGGAATTGTTCTCCCGACATTGCTGAGCATGGACCAGTCCTGCAGTAGCCTCCAAATGACAGTTGGCATGCTCAGTCCAAGTGCTCACTAGTTTCATGGAGGTTCAAGCCACTCATTGCAGCGCCGCCTCTCCTTCATATAAAAAAGATAAATCAAAGCTTGAGCTACATTCCTGTCTTGTGTGGAGACCCACAGAGATCACAGGCACAATAGGGACGGCTCTCCCCGGACTGCAGTGCAGATGCAGCACATGTGGCTCAGTCTCTGCTGGAATGAGTTGATTTGTAGCTGACCTGATATTTAGAACTCAAAATGTTGCATTCATCCTAATGCAGCATCTGAGGTGCTTATAAGGCTCTAGGCAGGATGTGGGGCAAGGAAGAAACAGTACTAGGATTCCTTTGGGTCTGCTGATAAATTCTTTACTCCTCACTGTCCAGCCGTGGTATTGGCCCAGGATGGGAACGTGTCCAAGGTGAACATGGGACGTCCCCAGGTGTTGATGGCCAAAGTGACGCAGATGATTCCGATAATGTTCATCACTATTCCAGATTTTGCCTGGCAAGGAAAAATGAAGCACAAAACACTGGCACAATGAGTCTCCATAGAGCTGCCAGAACCCATTCACATAAACACAATGAAGAAACCTGAAGGCATAACTAGATGCCTGATCCAATAAATAGCATGAAAATAACCATTGTGCTTGCTGTTCGATGTTCTTCCGTAAATGGAACTGCCCTGGAACAGTATGCAAACTCTTAATTAGTTTGCAATCTTGAAAGACCATTGAACACGATAGTTTCCATTGTTGTATGCAGTGGAGTTCCCGGGATATTAAAGAAATAAAGTGAGTGAGATAATCTCTTTTACTGGACCATCTCAAAAGACTGCCTCTCTCACGCACAGAACCTGGTCCAATAAAAGATACTGCCTCACCCACATTAACTATAAAACAAGATGGGTTTATCGGTTAAAGGCCTGATTCTGCCGCACTGAGGCTATGCCTATGCTGCAGCTTAAATCCCCAGAAACAATGTTGCCCAGGAGTGGGAATGAGGCTGAGGTTATTTATATGGAACCAAGGCTGCCAATGGGGAAGGCAGGAGCCCAGCAATTTAGAAAAACCTGGGACTCTGAGCTGTCCCCCAAGGCTACCACAGCAGTGGCTGGAGCTCTGGGCCTTTTAAATTTCTTCCAGAGTCCAGCATGATGCAGTCTGGGCAGCACTGATGGTTGGCTGCCTCTAGTCCTGCCCCTTGCACTTGAGGCCCTGCCACTTCTGGGGATCCCAGAGCTGAGTCTCCTCCCCTCCCCTCCTTTGCACTGGCAAATTCTGTCACAAGTCCTGCATGTAACTCTGGAGAGCCAAGGGAACTATAGAAATGCCAGACCATAAATGTAAGCAACATCCATGAAATTTACGGCAAAGGGTAATGGAAAGCTTTGGCAAAATATCAGGGAATGGTTATCATTATCTTACCATGTCTGCAACGCGGAGGTGACCATAGGAAAATACTATCGCGTTTGGAGGTGTCCCCACTGGGAGCATAAAGGCAAAAGAGGCACTGAGCGTACAAGGGATCATGATGTACAAAGGATTGACTTTGATTGACTGTGACTGAGGAAAAACAGACCAAGAGCAGCATTAGCAACATTCGGAAACAGAAGCAGGAAGAGAGTCTGCGATCCTCGGATGCAGTATCTCAGTTCATCCCCAGTGTAAGTTACTGCTGAAATGTAAATTCATGATTCCCTGGGCTCTTCTCCTAGCAAAGGATGGAGTCACTGAACAGAAAGTTCGTCCGTGGCTGAGGCTCCTAGGCCCTACAATAATAATACATTTTGCCCTCAGAGGGGCAACCAAATCCCATCCTAATTAAAGGCAACTGCACATGCATATCTGAGGGCAGAGTTTGGCTCCAAAATGTTTTCCAAACATTTGAGGATGATCTATCTGTATATCTGAGGTACTTGTATGGCTCATTAGCTTAGTATCTGAGGATATGTCTACACTAGCTCCCTAGTTCGAACTAGGGAGACTAATGTAGGTATTCTCTCCATTTTGGTATTTACAGAGATGCCAGCACAGGGTTGGTTCCATCACCGTTTATGTACTCATGCAGTGAGTTTTTTCTCCTGAATGAGGCTTGCTACAAGTCTGGTTTATTTCTCTTCACAATTCACTTTTGGCTGCAGAATTACATATACAAATGATGCTTGGTGCTTCCTCTCCCTTCCCCCACCCCACATGGTATAATTTGTGGTTATGGTCAAATTTATAAGGAGTTCTTTTGTTTGATCTCTGAAAACACTTTGAGATGGGTTGTCCGAGTGATATAGGCACTTGATTATAACTAGACTCACAGAGCAAAACTTTTAAACATTATGCCCATTTTGTGGGCTTCTCCAGTACCCAGAATTTCAGTGCCAATTCAAGACACTGCCAGCTATAAGCAGCCTAGTTCAGGATAATTCTACCTGAAAGAAAATACTAAAATTATTTTGGAATAAAGACAAGACTATCTATTTTCATCTGCTCTGGTGCCAACTTTGTCAAAACATCTGTGCCATTTTTAGTCCTCTCCTTATGTGTCTTCCTAAGTTTTAAAAATGTTCTGTTTTATTCTGCAGAAAGAGACTGAGATGGCTGAAGCATCCTAGGAAATGAATGAAGTGTGCTGGTTATTACCAAAGAAGAACACAAATCTCAGGATGGGGGAGGGGAAATCTGGAGTCTACAAGAAGACTATCACAGCAGAGGAAAATGTTTTCTATGTATTCAGCATTTGTAATCCCAAGGGACCTTAAAGTATTTAATCAATGATAAAAGGAAAGAGTAGTTTTCTGGCTCTTTAGAGACTAACAAATATATAAATATAATATCATGAGCTTTCATGGGAAAACCCACTTCTTCCATCAGAAGAAGTGGGTTTTGCCCATAAAAGCTCAAAATACTATATATTTTTGGTAGTTTCTAAGGTGCCTAAGCACTACTCAATGTTTTTAAAACTAACATGGCTACCTCTCTGAGGGTACGTCTAGACTACATGCCTCTATCACCAGAGGCATGTAGATTAGGCTACCAGGCATAGGAAAATGAAGCAGCGTTTTAAATAATCGCCGCTTCAGTTAAATTTACATGGCTGCCGCACTGAGCCGACAAACAGGTAGATTAGGCTACCAGGCATAGGAAAATGAAGCGGCGATTTAAATAATCGCCGCTTCATTTAAATTTACATGACTGCCGCGCTGAGCCGACAAACAGCTGATCAGCTGTTTGTCGGCTCAGCGCGGCAGTCATGTAAATTTAAATGAAGCGGCGATTATTTAAATCGCCGCTTCATTTTCCTATGCCTGGTAGCCTAATCTACATGCCTCTGGCGACAGTGGCATGTAGTCTAGACGTACCCTAAGAGTTTTAATCAATGATACACATTCAAGACTCAATTCTCCACTGCTCTCCAGTTTGGGTCCACATTTACACCTGTGCAAAGTAGGGATAAAATATTAAACACATTTTGTAATCATTTTGCACTTGGGTAAATGATCATGCAAGGTGCAAGGCAATGGAAAAACCAAGCCCTCAGTGCTAAACTTACCTCTCTGTAAGGCAGGAAAGTATATACTTAAGTTTTCCCCTATTGGCTTCATTGGAACTTAAGTAGATGCATAAGGTTCAATAGCTTAATTTTCAGCTTGTGTATAGAGTCTATTGGCTTCAGCATTGCTCTCCTGAATGCGAGACTTAAGAGGTGAAATGTTTTTGGTGGGGACTAGCTAACGCGCGGGGACAAGCTAGAACTTTTAACCTCCAGACTGCTGGTTGAATACAGCACAAGTGACCAAAAGTCCTTACCAGCTGACTGGTGTTGGGTGGGCTCTGTTAAATGATTTGGTGGCTCAGTCCTCTTTCTAGTGGACAAGTGCCCGCCTTGCACAGCAGTTGGCATTAACTGGCCTCCTATTAGGCAATCTTAGGAGAGGGGCCATGGAAGTTGATTTACTCTCTCACTCCAGGAGTTGTCCCATCAAGGCTGATGCACAGTGGCGGGGCAGTACCAGGGAAGTCTGCAGAGCTGCTGCCCGTGTGATACCTGGCCTGTGGATAAACAAAGGACGTTTCCCCCAGCACTGGAGCTAGCTTTGCTGTCTGATAGGTTGTTCGCTGTATACTTTCTGGAGTAACCCTATTCGCATTAAAAGTCCCCTGGCTTAAAACATATATACTGCACGTGGTAATAAATGTGGCCTTGCTCTGTTTTAAAAGATTATCCATTTTTCTTTGATGTTAAAGTCAACTTTACAGATCAGCAGTGAGAAAAAGCCACGTAGAAAATGAATCTTACCAAGGACGCAAAGACAGGTAGAAAGAGGGTGGCCGTAGCTACATTGCTGGTGCATTCGGTGAAGGTTGCGACAACAAGTGTAACGATCACTGCAATGGCCCAGGGTGGAATAGCATGCAATGGGATCATCTGATTCCCCAGCCATTTCGACAGACCAGAAGCCTGACAAGATCAAAAGGTGCATTTCAGTAAGACACAGAACTCTAGACTATTGCTCATGCAGTGTGCAATGTATTGCCAAACCCCAATACACATATGAAAACAGGCCATTGACATTAGTGGTTAGATCATTTAAAAGCAGGAAACTGGGTCATTTATAAAAGAAGTAATGTGAGCTTTCTTAAAAACAATAATAAAGGAGATTCCCTGCCAGCTGGAAATTGTCAGATTTATTTTCTCTAATTCTCATCAGAAGGAACTTAGGCTATGTCTACACTAGACCCCTAGTCCGAACTAGGGAGGCTAATGTAGGCATTCAAAGTTGCAAATGAAGCCCAGGATTTAAATATCCGGGGCTTTATTTGCATCTTTCCATGCAGGCGCCATTTTTAAATCCCCCTTAGTCCGAACTGATTGCCCGCGATGGTGTAACAGTTCAAGGCATAACAGTTAACTCAAACTAAGGACTTAGTTCAAGTTAACATTTGACTGCCGCGTGTAGCTGTGGGCTGTCAGTTTGGACAAAGGGGGATTTAAAAATGGCGCCTGCATGGAAAGATGCAAATAAAGCCCGGGATATTTAAATCCTGGGCTTCATTTGCAACTTCGAATGCCTACATTAGGGTATGTCTACACTACAACGTTAATTCGAACTAACTTAGTTCGAATTGATCAATTCGAACTAAGCTAATTCGAACTAACGGATCCAGACTAAAAAACTAGTTCAAATTAGCGTTTTGCTAATTCGAACTAGCATGTCCACATTGAGTGGACCCTGAACCGAGGCACCGTAGCCAGCCCGTGCCCCTTTAAGGGGTCCGGGCCGGAAGGGGGGCAGACGAGTTTCTCTGGTGTTGGCCAGAGTGGCCACCCGGGAAACCTGGGGAGGGCTAGCCTCCCCCTAGTTTGAATTAAGGGGCTACACACCCCTTAATTCGAACTAGCTAGTTCGAACTAGGCTTAATCCTCGTAAAATGAGGTTTTCCTAGTTCGAACTAAGTGCTCCACTAGTTCGATTTAAATTCGAACTAGCGGAGTGCTAGTGTAGCACCTATTAAAGTTAATTCGAACTAATGTCTGTTAGTTCGAATTAACTTTAATAGGTGCTACACTAGCGCTCCGCTAGTTCGAATTTAAATCGAACTAGTGGAGCACTTAGTTCGAACTAGGAAAACCTCATTTTACAAGGATTAAGCCTAGTTCGAACTAGCTAGTTCGAACTAGGCTTAATCCTCGTAAAATGAGGTTTTCCTAGTTCGAACTAAGTGCTCCACTAGTTCGATTTAAATTCGAACTAGCGGAGTGCTAGTGTAGCACCTATTAAAGTTAATTCGAACTAATGTCTGTTAGTTCGAATTAACTTTAATAGGTGCTACACTAGCGCTCCGCTAGTTCGAATTTAAATCGAACTAGTGGAGCACTTAGTTCGAACTAGGAAAACCTCATTTTACAAGGATTAAGCCTAGTTCGAACTAGCTAGTTCGAACTAGGCTTAATCCTCGTAAAATGAGGTTTTCCTAGTTCGAACTAAGTGCTCCACTAGTTCGATTTAAATTCGAACTAGCGGAGTGCTAGTGTAGCACCTATTAAAGTTAATTCGAACTAATGTCTGTTAGTTCGAATTAACTTTAATAGGTGCTACACTAGCGCTCCGCTAGTTCGAATTTAAATCGAACTAGTGGAGCACTTAGTTCGAACTAGGAAAACCTCATTTTACAAGGATTAAGCCTAGTTCGAACTAGCTAGTTCGAACTAGGCTTAATCCTCGTAAAATGAGGTTTTCCTAGTTCGAACTAAGTGCTCCACTAGTTCGATTTAAATTCGAACTAGCGGAGTGCTAGTGTAGCACCTATTAAAGTTAATTCGAACTAATGTCTGTTAGTTCGAATTAACTTTAATAGGTGCTACACTAGCGCTCCGCTAGTTCGAATTTAAATCGAACTAGTGGAGCACTTAGTTCGAACTAGGAAAACCTCATTTTACAAGGATTAAGCCTAGTTCGAACTAGCTAGTTCGAACTAGGCTTAATCCTCGTAAAATGAGGTTTTCCTAGTTCGAACTAAGTGCTCCACTAGTTCGATTTAAATTCGAACTAGCGGAGTGCTAGTGTAGCACCTATTAAAGTTAATTCGAACTAATGTCTGTTAGTTCGAATTAACTTTAATAGGTGCTACACTAGCGCTCCGCTAGTTCGAATTTAAATCGAACTAGTGGAGCACTTAGTTCGAACTAGGAAAACCTCATTTTACAAGGATTAAGCCTAGTTCGAACTAGCTAGTTCGAACTAGGCTTAATCCTCGTAAAATGAGGTTTTCCTAGTTCGAACTAAGTGCTCCACTAGTTCGATTTAAATTCGAACTAGCGGAGTGCTAGTGTAGCACCTATTAAAGTTAATTCGAACTAATGTCTGTTAGTTCGAATTAACTTTGTAGTGTAGACATACCCTTAGCCTCCCTAGTTCGGACTAGGGGGCTAGTGTAGACATACCCGTACAGTTTTGCCAAGTAGAAGCACAATACTGAGTTATTTCCAAGATCAAGGAAGTCACACCTTGCCAAGCATTTCATGAATTGCTCACAGCAATCGTTGAAAGAATTGCTAATGCTTCTGAAGGTACTGAGCTGCAACTAAGGAAACCCCAAAGAGGACTTTCTGTCAAGGCTGCCAAGATTCTGGAGAAACATGAACAAAGCAGTTCAACTTTTGAAGTTCAATTCCTGAGGCGCACCCATCCCTAATTATGCTAATTAGCAGTTCAGCCCTTTGCTTAGAGGGGTGCTTAATTTATAATGAAAGAAGTGCCAGGGCTCAAGTAATTTTTTACATTTGGAACTGAGCAGTAAGTCCAGAGGTGTTGGGGCTATATACTGCCAAGCATAGAAGGGCCAGGGCTCAGCCCTGGTGCAAATAAAGCCCTGCTTCACATGCAGGTGCTGTTTGGACTCATTACTATGAATAAAGGACCAACAAGCAGAGCCTAGAAGTCCCCCTGGGACTCAGTGGCAGCTAGAGGGTAAGTCATACATCGCTTCCACTGGCCAAGGCGAATCCTCCCCCTAGCAGCAGCACAATGTTCCAGGGCAGCTTCTTCTGAACCACCTTCCAGTCCAGCAGCGGGGCTGGGAAAAAGGGCTGAAATGATAAAAGCAGAGCATGGAATGCTGTGAGATGGAGACACCAACTTTGATCCAGCTGTACGCTCAGATGTGCGCTTACTGTAGCTACCACCCCCGTGCAAAGGAAGAGCTCGAGTGACACAGAGGGATTGCCCAGGACAGGAATACTAGTGAGAAAACTGCCCATTCTAGTGCACTGTGGTTAGGACCAAGCACCAGGAGTAACTAAGATGTGGGATTAGCTCCCATGGACTGCACACACTGAGGACATGGCTATATGAACACTGAGGACATGTCTACACTAGCAAGATTAGCCCGTCGGAGGTCGATCTTCTAGCTTTCGAATTAGCAGGTCTAACATAGACACGTAAAATGAAGGCTAAGGGCAGCCCCTGCCACTACTCCTCCCTCTGTGATGAGCAAGAGAAGCCGAAACAAGTGTGTGCTCCAGTGGGCCTCCCTCTCTGTGGATGCTGCCATAGCTCAGCTTAAGGTAAACTGACTCCAGCTACATGTTTAGCATAGATAGAGTTGCATACCTTAAACCAACCTGTCTGGTTTAGTGTTAACCAGGTTTGAGTTCACAGCAGGCTGGAGTATGAATGTGTCTTTCAATCTAGCCTTTCAGACACCATTACTAGACTCCACACGGACACACAGTGGAAGTTCCACAGTGGACTCTGATCTACTCTGCTTTCAAGGAGGAGAAGGATAGCGTGCACTAGGGAGTTTTTAGCAGGATCCACACAGACAGTATACGGCAGGTTGGCCTAGGGTACATTTCCCCACCACTTTGCCACATGCAAAAGGTTCCTGCAGACAAGCCATGAGTCACAGAGGATTGCTTCTTTCAGCACCAATCTCTGCATGGTGAGTTGTGTTCTCATCACAGAGCCGCAATAGTGTCAATTTCTCTTTCCATTACCTTCTTTGTTATGTTCAGGGTTAACTCTATTTTGACTAAAGCAGTTGAACTTGGGTTTAGTGGCAGGAACTATGAACAGTAGTAGTGCAACAAAGAGAGCTACGGTGGCATCAGTAACATACCTATAAGAAAAACCAGAGGGCAATTTAAAATATAGTATACCTTGTCCCATTACATGGCACCCCTCCAGCATGGGATCTATCCAGTACACACACACCATTGTCCCAAACACTGTAACCCACAAATTCTATTCACATTTGTCCATACAATCCCTCTAAACCAGGCGTGGGCAATAATTTTTGATGTAGGGGGGCACTCCAAGAATTTGGAAAGTGGCCAAGAGCCGCACTCTTCCTGTAAACCTCGTTTCACAAGGCATAAGAGAGCGGTCGACAAAGGCTTCCCTTGTCGACTGATCCGCGTCTAGAGTCCCGCGCTGTGCCAGATCAGCTGATTGTCGGCAGAGCACAGCGGCCATTTTTATTTTAATGAAGCAGGGATTATTTAAATCCCCGCTTCATTGGCTATGTCGGGTAAACTAGTTTACATGGCTCTGTTGACAGAGCCATGTAGTCTAGACATACCCTTCCATATTAATGGAGGAGGTGCAGGGCCTGGGATGGAGGTTGGGTGCAGAAGGGAGCTTGCGGTAAGGAACTGGGCGGCAGGAGAAGGTGTGGGCTTTGGGTGAAGGAGGCAGTTGTGATTGGGTTAGAGGACATGGGTGCAGGGTTTTGGGTTGTCAGCTTATGCAAGAGGGGGCTGTGACCTGGGGAAGGGGACTAGGGTATAGGAGGGGAGTGCAGGGGTTTGGGCTGTGACCTTGGGCAGGGGGTTTGGGTTATGTGGGATAGGGGAGCTGAAGGTTGGGGTGCCAGAGCTACGCTCTGACTGGGAGATTGCTCGCTTGACTCCGACTCCTTGCCTGCCCTGCCCCCGCACTGGCTGCATGTGATTTCTAAACAGCTAGGAGCCTGATAGGCAGAGGAGAGGGCGTCTCCCAAGCTGCTTGTTGGCAACAGACAGCTCCCATTGGCCAGAAAGTGGCCAATGGGTATGTGCTGGGAGCAGGAGCAGCACTCATCCCTTTCCTTCCTTCCCCCACGCTCACAGCTGTTCAAACAACCCCTCCATGGCTGTGTTTCTTGGCACCATGCAGTGAGCAGGCTAGGAGTCTGCAGGCCTGATCTGGCAGCTTGGTGGGCTGAATTTGGCCTGCAGAGGGTACTTTGCCCAGGTCTGCCGTGGGCACTTAATGGGAGGTCCTAAGTCACTTTTGAAAATGGATTTAGGCTTCAAAATCACTTATGTAGTTTTGAAAATGTTAGACTGCAGCAAATACCAAGGTCTCAAAACAACCAGCACGACATTTTCCCTTCCTATTTCAAAGCAAAAAGTCCCACTTTTGCACCAAACTCTGAAACTCAAATTGTGAACTTAGCTAGTGAATTCTCTGGGACAGGCACAGTCTTTTTTCATCTACTTTTGTGCAGCCCCTACCCCCATAGAGGAATGATTGGGACCCATAGGCATGATCACAATGCAAATAAATACAAGAATAATAATACACAAGCAGTGCAGGTGACCAAACAGAAAGGTGCAACTGGTGCATGTGAGCTGAGTAAAGACACTTCTCAACAGGAAAGCTACAACAATTCAAATGTTGCTGCACATGTGGGGCTGTGGCAAGAAATGATCTTAATTGTGTCTCCCCTTAAAACTTGTGTGCAAGGTTAAGAGCACAGGAGGAAGATAGAGAAGTCATTCAAATCACTGAGTCAGTTTCTTTGTGGGTGATGGATAGCTTCTCCCTTGCAAATGACATTACTGCCTATTAAAATGACATTAAACCTGATCTTATCATAAAATTGGAAGGCTAATAAAAATATATACACAAACTGGATTGACACACAAATACCATGAATATCCCTCACACTGGCTCTGCAGCACCTTTGTTACATGTGCCTCTTTAGAGCAGAGATTGTCAATTATCTGGTGGTTTGGTGCTGCCCAACAAATGAGAACTAGCATCAGACCCATCACGCAACGTCCATGTGTGACATGAGACAGGAGCTGAATGAAACACCCCTTATGATCAAACAGGCGTAGAGGCAAATAATTTATTGCTCCATCAGCCAAAACACTGCAGGATTCAAACTTACTCTTTATCTTTATTGAAGAGGAAAGTGGCCCAGCCAGGAACGAAGCCGGGAGCTCTGGTAAACCACAGAAGAACAAGCAGAAAGAAGAGCATAAGGACACTGAATTCAGCAAATGAGACAGGGCCTAGTTTCTGGTACTCGTCCTTGAGCACGTTGAAAGCAGATTTCTCTTTTTCTGTTCTTTCAATCCCACAGCCCCATGTTTTTTTAAAACTTGAGAAGAAAAAAAGAAGGAACATTATAAATATTTGCAAGAGAAAATTACCAGTGAATCCACTTTGACCCTTATTCTGTGGGGCACAGAACCATGCTAGTGGCACCCTAGAAAGGCTGCAGTATGCTATAAAGTGAACGGTTCCTGTATTATACTTTGCACATAGCTACCACTGGTTACCATCTCCTGCTGAGATGTGTGGTCTGGGGGGTAGAGAATTGCACTGGGAGTCAGAAGAGCTAGATTCGCTTCTTGGTTCTGCCACAGATTCAATCTACAACCTTGGGCATGTTACTTCACCTCTCTGTGCCTCTGTCTCGCTGCCCACTCTTTTTCGGTTTTGTCTAGTTACATTATAAACTCATTGGGGCACGAACTTTTTCTTACTAAGTGTGGAGCCTCAAGATCAGTTGTGCTCTCTGCAATACATTGGAAAATAAACATTAACTACAAATGTGATGATAACAACAAAAGTTCAATCTCACCTTAGAGGTTTATGAATATGTGAAGTTCCTACCTACTAAAGATACATTGTTACATGACATGTCATTCCTTGTCTATGTAATACTTTGCTTCCAAATTATAGACCATGGCATCATGTAATTTCAGGAACATACATATACTCATAGACTCATAAACTCATAGGGTATGTCTACACTACAGCACTAATTCGAACTAACTTAATTCGAATTAGTTAATTTGAACTAAGCTAATTCGAACTAGTGCATCTAGACCTAAAAACTAGTTTGAATTAGCGTTTTGCTAATTCGAACTAGCATGTCCACATTGAGTGGACCCTGAACCGAGGTTAAGGATGGCCGGAAGCAGTGCCGGCAGGGCATCAGATTAGGACTTAGAGCGTGGAGCTGCTGTCTCAGGCTAGCCAAGGGCTGTGCTTAAAGAGACCCAACCCCCACCCCAGACAGACAGTTCTCAGGGGTTCCCCACTTGCTTGTCTAACTCGATGAGGGACAGCAAAGCAGTCCTGGCTTGGAGTGCCCTGAGTGCCCACACTCGGCACATCACAGCACTCGGCCATCAGCCCGGCTGCACTTGCTGCAGGCTGCCATCTGGGGAGCGGG